GAGAGAGGTCATACGGCCTGGCATCAAGGGCCTGGGCTCTAGAGGCCAGCATCTGGGTCCAGCCCCAGTTTCACCACTTTGTACCTGGACTACCAGGTGAGCTCCTGGGCCTCTGTGTCTCCGTCTCATCATCTCAAAATGGGGCAATGTTTATCTTAAGGATTTTGTTTTCAGGATTAAATGGAATAATGCACCTACAGAGATTATTACAGCACCTGGCAGGTGAAGTGAGCTGCATTCACAGGATCTATTACCATTTTCAGGGTCAGAGGGCTCCTCAGGGGAGCTGTGACAGCATAGGTCTTGCTTTTTTTGTTTCTAGAAAGGAGCTGGGAGAGGGAGTGAGTGTCAAATTACCAATCCTGCCCTGGAGGCTGAGGGGTGGTGAGAGTAGCTCTGTGGGCAAATGAGCCCCAGCATGGGCACAAGGAAAACTTGCAGAATGCCATGGAAGGTGGCTGGTCTTTCCCTTGGCATGTTAGCGCTTGTGAAACAGGAGCTCTCATCTGCATTTATGTTTACTTTCTGTTGACAGTCAATGTAAAAAACTGAATCATTTCAAATATTCCACCCGCAGACAAGAGCTTCCAAACAATGCAGGAACTCAGTGTGAAATGATGGGGAACAGACACTTGATTCACCTGATGCAGCAATTCTGGTGAATCATGTGCTCACATTTCATGAATGTGCAATGCCGGGATTAAGAACAGAAACAAACAAATAAACCAAAAACTTCAGTCCTGAAAGGGTGTGAGTTGAAGGAAGGGGCCAGCTCCGTGCAGAGGGGAGTATTCCTGTTGCATGAATGAAATACAAAACCGGGTTGTACCGGGTGAGAGAAATGGGAGCTGGGACAGGAGTGGCCCCCTCTCTCCCCCTCCCCAGCTCTGAGAACGGCTTTCTTTGTTGAGAGAACACACCTGAGGCAAGGCTTCTTCACTTCTCCTCCCACTCACAACCAGGTAAGTCCTGCCAGGTGCCCCGGTGGGAATAACGCATCCAATGATAATTCACAGACTCCTACATGAAATCAAAGCTTTGCTCACGTCCTTTCACCGGAATAAAGAAATGAAACGGACGCCGCCCTCAGAGGTGCCAGACCAAACCCGCATGTTTGGATTCTTTCTACAGAAAACCATTTGTTTTGGGTTCATTTCAGTATTTATAGCAGTGCACATGTAACACATTTCAAGCCACGTGAATAGTTCCCAATTGTTGAAGCAAATTAATCTTTCACAAGCCACTCGGCAGTGAGGTTAGAAGATAAACAGTAGGTGAAATAGCACACGCTCCCCTGTACGTGAACCTTCTTATTACAATAAACTCCTACATTTGAGCTAACTACATCCAATGACTGCCACTCTCTCCGTTCATGTGGCAGCCCCAGCTGCCCCCTGCCACCTCTGCCCTGCTGAGGGAGTTCTCTCATCAACTGCCTGGGTGAGACATGCTGCCATTTTCAGTTTGGAAGGAAAAGCCTGTAAACCTGCTTCCTGGGAAGACAGACACTGCTGAATCGTCATCTGCCTCCAGAATGCAGGAAACATCAATTTCATTGCAGCTCATCAGAGCTGCAAACACCTGCCACTTCCTTTCTCAGTTGCAATTAATGTGCTGCATCTCAACATCCATTGATTCCAAGCAGCCTAACACTGCCAAAGTCCAGGTTTAAATGAAACAGTATAAGCTGATGTTATTTTTCACAGTTTTAGAAACATGAGCTTACTTGTGTTTTTATTGCCAAAGAAGCACTACAGATATTTGGGGAGATAAGTCTTTGTGCTTGAGATAAATGTGAGAATAGGTTGATGATTATAATAAAAAAGGCTCTTTATTTTTTTTTTTTAAATTTATTTGGGAGTGGTACTTGTTTATCTTTGTATTTACTTGCGGGTGGAGGAATAATGTTCTTTCTGTATCCTTACATCTAGCACAGGGTTGCTGAATCCCACAGGTATTTGGAAGATGTTTATTAAACACATAAATAAATGAATGGTTTGGGAGAGCAAGTTTAAGAATGGTCCTCTTGGTCCAGCTTACGTAAAATTCTGAAGTTTTAATTGTGAGCCTTTTGGTTTAACTTAGAAGCTGTGTGAGACTATGAAATGTGTGTGACCTGAGGCTGGGGCTTTCTGTCTAATTCAGAGTCCTAAATGGCTCAGCCTTGATCACAAGTGTTATTTTATGGGAAAGTGAAGGCTCCGTCTGTTTTCATCATAATCCTACCCATACTGTATACACAGAAACTGTCTTCAGATGGTAGGACTTTTGAGGGTCTTAGGACTTTCTCTATTGCAATCATTTAACATAGTTCAACAGCCACAATATTTGTATCCTTTTGGAAATGATCATTAAACTGGTTTTTAAGTACTGGGGAAAACTGAAAGCCAGTGTAAGTTGAAGGCTGTTAAATATAAGGTTTATGTTTTAACTTGGCCAGATAAGACTCAGCCTTAAACCACAGAACATAATCTTTGGAAGAGAAAGTGAACAAATTGCTTCTCTCATCTATCAACAGAATACTGGGGCCAAGAACCACCTTCTTTCTTGGCCCTCTTGGGAGAATCTTTCTTTTAAACCAAAATAGAACAAATTAAAATAAGTAGCAATTAATCCTTTTGCACAAAAACAACCCAGACACTACACATTTGAGCATCATCTGTTAAACGTATGCAAGCATCAAATGGTGACTGGGCTTGAATAACTCTACCCATTCTAGAAGGAAAACTGTAGTTGTGTATCTTTCTTAAAATGAATTAACATTCCTACGCGTCTGTAGTCTTACCTCTGAATGCCTGATGGCAGAAAATATTATCTTGACTATCTCCATAAATCTTTAATACTATACAACTTTTCGCCCCAAACCTCTGGGTTATTTGCGTATTAAACAGCTTATATACCAATAGCTTAGTGCAAATAGGTCTTCTCCAAATTATAACACAGGAAAACCAGGATAATGAGGAAATCATATTAGCCATTTCCACCAAATATACAAATAAATAAAAATAGATAAATAGCCCTAAGTGGCACAGTTTTCAGAGAGAGAGAGAGAGAGAGAGAGAGAGAGAGAGAGAGAGAGAAATAGATGCTTGTATATATTTCCTAATAATAGAATTCAGGCACTAGAAGACCTGATTATTAAAAGAAAAAAGAAAAGAAAAAGAAAAAGGAAGGAGAGAAGAAAGAAAAAGAACTACAACCTTTGGAACTTGGTATATACATGGAAAGGTTGTGTTTTAATACCACCCAAAACTCAGGAAATCCAAGCACACTTCTAATTTCCGGCTTCTCAGCTGACCAGATTGGTGTGCACGGACAGCATCTCAGACAAAAGTGGTTTATGGGTTAACTTATACTGAGGTAAGTTAGCTCTCCAGGCAGTTGCAAAGCACCATTTGTCCTCCAATACATGTAAACACTTGCAGAAATGACAGGCCAAACATACAACAAAGAGTTCTTCAGTCTGTCTCATGTCAATGATGGACTGACTCCTCAAAGAATGCCACTGAGGGAAAACAATCAAATACTTTCTGACAACAAATCACCATTTAAAATCTTTTCTTTGGTTCCCCTATGAACAGTCAAAATGTCCCGGGAATCCCATGTCAGTGCACAAACTCCATCTCCCAGCTTTCTTTACACAATGAAAATGTCATCAAAGAATCCGTTACCCAGTTTGGGATTTGGTAAATGGGACCACTGCTCCCCACTCCACCTTGAAGGCAGAAGTGGCCTTGTCTTGTCGTGGATTTCCTGGGCAACCCCTGGAGACAGTGTCAGAGATGTTTCTCTGTTTAGACCTAAGACCACCACTGAGGAGCATCCCTCACCTGGATCACTAGAATGTTCGTTTTTAGTAGCAGCATCAACCTCACCGATATTTTATCAACAAACGAAAGAGTTTTATAATACTTTTTGCCATTACCAATAGTTACAAAAAAGTGCTTCAAAATTATTCATTTTCTAGAAACGTTTTTCACTATGTTCCAGCGGCAATAAGGAGTGTGCTCTGGGGGGGGGGAAAAAAAAGCTTTTCTAAGCCAACAGCATTTGGTGTTAACTAACAATCCTGCTGGTATGAAGTCAAAGTTTTATTTCCTTTTTTCCTTCTTTTTTTTTTTTTTAAATAAAATTAAGGCTCAAATGTTCTATTAAACTCTCATTGCTTATGTATATTATATTAAGGCTTATAACTACACCTGGTAAATTAAATTCACCCTGGATTGAATTAACACCTGCTATATGAATTATTTGCTTTATGTAATCAGTAATCTCAAGGTTTCTTCTCTTTCTCTGGAAACACAATTTAAATATTAACCTAATCTTTAAACTGCGGCTGCTTCTTTCTGACATTTGGAAACCGGTCATCCATGCAAAAAAAGGCAAATATGGATATATTAATGAAAAGGCAGCTTCTTAAAAATCTTTAGATGTGTAACTCAATGAATCTGGGAAGAGAAAATGATGAAAGCAGCAGGAAAATCGATCTCTGTGTCACTTTCTACGGAAAACAATGCTGATCATCTGCCACGGTCACCTCCAATTTAAGAGACCCACTGAAGTTGACTGCCAATTTCAAAAGAGTCTTTGTACTTTCTTCATTATAATCTCTGGAAGGATCTTGGGCAGCTGGAGTACATATGAGAGAATCTTAAATTCTTTTAAAAATATTGCAGGGCTTCCCTGGTGGCGCAGTGGTTGAAAGTCCGCATGCCGGTGCAGGGGACGCGGGTTCGTGCCCCGGTCCGGGAAGATCCCACATGCCGCGGAGCGGCTGGGCCCGTGAGCCACGGCCGCTGAGCCTGCGCGTCCGGAGCCTGTTGCTCGGCAACGGGAGAGGCCACAACAGTGAGAGGCCCGCGTACCGCAAAGAATATATATATGTATATTGCAGCATGGTATAAGTTACGTTCCAGGTCTGACATATCCTGTGAAAGGAAGGAGAGAGTGAAGGGTGCCTGGCCTGATCTGGTCCTCGGCTTGCTCCCTGCGGGGCTTCCTCATGTCCTGCTCAGCTGACAGCCCCTGGAGAATATGAAGCTTTCAAAGCGCTGGTCTTCAGCCTTTTCTTTTACGCGTTGTTCCTCTAAGGAATCCACCAGTTTGTCCCTTTGCTCAATTACTTGCATCATCTCGGTGAGTATTTCTTGCTCCTCATTCAGATCATTCTCATCTTTCTGGCTCTCTACAGAAACAAAAACAAACAAAAATAAGTAAAAAATAAAAACAAACAAAAACACCCACATTGGACTCCAGGTAAGATTTGACCCCAGGAGAACTTTTGGCATGGGCATTCTTGATTGTTCTGGACTTGTTCCGCCCTTTAATTTCCATGGAGAAAACAAGGAAATGAATTTAACACCAGGGACCTGCCCTCCCAGTCACAGATTAGAAAGGTGGGTGCTTTGTGCTGCTGTCAGCTCAGTTTTCATCTTGAGACTCTATATAAAGTGACAGGGAAAATCCCTTTGTGAGAAGAAGAAGTTAATACCAGCCAAGTCCTGCCAAGCCCTCCAAGCTGCCCTCCCCTCACAAAAAAGAAACCAACAAGGCAACACAAAGGCAGTTTCCCCTAAACACGTCTGAGCAAAGCGATCTGTGAGAAAAGTTTCTAAGTAAACCATCCGCATCAGTGGAAGCTATTTCCATGATGAGAATCCTTTTTTCATTTGTAGTTAGTGACAAATTGCAGCCCTTTGAATAGAGACCAGGCGGCAGCCAAGTGACGTTATGGCTGGCCGCTAGGAGGATGTTTCCAGACTGTGACTATGCTTCTCCCTGAGTACATGACCTTCTTCCTAATTGGCCCGAGACATTCGATTGCCTCAGGGAGACAAGATTCCCCCCCCCACCCCGGTACGTGGGCCTCTCACTGCCGTGGCCTCTCCCGTTGCGGAGCACAGGCTCCGGACGCGCAGGCTCAGCGGCCATGGCTCACGGGCCCAGCCGCTCCGCGGCACGTGGGATCTTCCCGGACCGGGGCACGAGCCCGTGTCCCCTGCATCGGCAGGCGGACTCTCAACCACTGCGCCACCAGGGAAGCCCAAGGGAGACAAGATTTTTATAAAAGGAAGGAAAAGAGTAAGAAACAGGTAGTAATGACTCTAACACTCAAAATAGGATTTTAAAGGCAGATTTGAAGTCTTGTCAACCAGATTACTGCCTTGGGAGAAGACTCTATAAATTCTGTTAGCTCTTTCTTATTTAACACACTGGGACTAGGTGGTGGGCCTGATACCTGGGCAGAGATGGTACCACTGTCTCTTGCATCAGGCTGAGTTCTGAGAACAGTGTCAGGAATAAGGTACATATGACAAAAGGGAAATAAAGAGGCACCATTCTCTTTGCAGCTCATGTTTGATGGGAGGGAGGAGAGAGAAGCAGGAGAAGATAAAGGTGAGAGCCCTGGGCTCCAGTCTCTCCGTTCTGGGCCTTGGAAGCCCCCAGAGAGGCAGGGAATGTCACATTATTTGATGCGAGCACTGGGGGGCTGAGGGACTCTTGCCCTGCCCCTTGCTTGGAACTCTGGGAAGAGGCCAGCTGGAAAGGCACCCTGTGTATAAACGTGGGACAGGTAGAACTTCATGGATGAGCAGAGAAGAGGGGTCTGGGTGTTGCTCCCCAGATCTTGATCTGCTGTGTGTGGTACACATTGGTAGAGCCTAGAAATGTCCACTTGCCCCAGAGGTGCAAAGGCAGACGGCCACTGGGCCTGCCATGGGGCTCCCCATGATGAGGGATAGAGTGGCCTCACAGTGGAGACTGTCTGGCCAGGCTGAGTGAAGGATGTGCTGAGGTGAGGCTGAGCGAGGCCAGGAGTGAGGCTCCAGGCACGCTGAGAGAATGGCCAGGCTATGGGTCAGGCCAGCCACACACCTTGGCTGCAAATGCCAGCAGAGACAGTGATGGCCTGATGACAGGAGATAGCTACGTGGGAGTCAATGAGTCAGAAAAACCCACACAGATTTCCAGTGCTGTGAAGTCACACAAACCTGCCTCTTGCCATTACCTGGAGGTCACCTTAAGAATCAAGCAGATGGAAGGGGTGGCAATCTGCAAGACTGAACATTTTCATCCCCAAAAGACTGAGCATTTCCTAGAGGGACTGCATCAGCCTAAATTATTGCATCAGACTAAGTTTACCAGAGAGGGATAAAAAAAGTTCCCTTTCCTCCCTCCCTCCCTCCCTCCCTCACC